CAAATAGGCCAGATGTAGAGTATATATACGACTTTTTAGGGATTTGCCGGTGAGTTATGCTGACGCTGTTTCCGAGGTAATCTCCTTCGATTCCGGTGAACACGTGCTGAGCTTTCGTCCGTCAACGATCAAATAGGCCAGTTTTAGAGTATATATACCACTATTTAGGAATTTGCCGGTGAGTTTTCTTGACTATTGTTGTGACGATGTTACCTCGCTCTGATGATGTCCGTCATATGACGGACGAAAGCTCAGCACGTGTTCACTGGAATCGAAGGAGATTGCCTCGTAAACAGCGTCAGCATGAATCTTCCTGTAAAACCAATCGACAGCTGATCAAGAGGAATTCACCGTCGTCTTCTGGTGGAACTGACTTTAAAATCTCTTCACCCAACACTTTTACTCGAAATGGAAGTAATCCCAACAATTATGAAGCAAGGGATTACTAGAAACCCAAATTTTCTTCCTATTATTGTTGGGGAGACTTTCATTTCATATGAAAGATCCAGAAGAAGAGCTTCGGAGCCCGATCTCACTAGAAGACAACGGGGACATCTTCTGAGCTGGAAAGTATTCCTGTAAAAGTCGCACACAACACTGGGCCAAGGAGACTGTCCTATCCCATCTAACCACGTATACATACTCATAAGTACAAAACGAAAATGTATAGGCATACATAAATATAGAATGGTTTGGCTAATTATCTTTCATATTGGTTATGCTACCATGTTTTGAAAAAAAAAGAAAAATACGGCAAGTACTGTATCAAATATAACAGTGCCGGATAGTGTTGAACTTTTATTAGAAAGATACTTGAATTTTGCTATTCCAAGTGAAGTAGACTGACCTTTTGACATATTTGTTGCATTTATTTGTTTATCTGCAACATGTCTGAAGATGTGAAGAATAGTATTGAGTTAGAATTGTTCCCTAATTTTGTCAAAATAATCACGGTAAAGCCATCTTGTGTTTTCACTAGGGTTTCTATATAGTTAAGTCGTAATCATATAATTATCATGAAAGCTGGCAAAGTTTGAATAGTAGTAGTCATGGCTAGGTCAAGTTCGGGAGAAAAAATACTGGTCCATTTAAATGATACTGACATGTATATGGCTTTAATGAGAGATCCAACGGAAAAGCCTATTGGATACTGACGTGACACGTGTCAGTATCAGTTTTATAAATCAGCAGGTAGGTCCATAGAATAGTCTACTTCATTTGGAAGAGCAAAATTCAACCATCTTTCCAATAAAAGTTCAACACTATCCTGCACTATTATATTTAATACAGTAATTGCCTTATTTTTCATAAATTTGTTCAACACATGGTAGCATAATTACTATTAAAGATAATTACATTTTCGTTTAGTACTTATGAGTATGTATAAGTGGTTAGATGGGATAGAACGCTCTCCTTGGCCCAGTGTTGTGTGAGACTTTTACAGGAATGATTTCCAGCTCTGATGATGTCCCCCATTGTCTTTTGGTGAGATCGGGCTCCGAAGCTCTTTTTCTGGAACTTTCATATGAAATGAAAGTCTCCCCAACAATAATAGGAAGCTGTTTGCTTTGTTGACAATCTCGATATAAAAATATGATATTAAAGAAAAAATTCATCTCCTTCACATTCGGGATATGGCAACTTTTTAAGAAGCTATTATGAATGAAATAAGATAGAATCACGAAGCATATTCACATGACTTGTGGTAACTTCGAACATCAGTCCATACATCATTCTAGGAGATCTAGGCTAACTCTAGACTTTAACCTACCTATTAGAGTCTCCATAAAATATTTTCATTCTCGCGAAATTTAGTCTATTTACACTAGAATCACTCAAATCTCGCTTCAGCATACTCCTTATAATTCATACCAAGTAAACATGATTGGCTCAAGTGATTTCCACCTGCAGTCATCACTGGGCAAAACCACTTATAACGAAGACTACAGTGAAACATGCTCCTACATAAACTTATTCGGAAGATGTACATTTATGAACAAAAGTTGCAAGTGGGACAATCTCAGTCGAACTCAAAAATAATGGTCGAAAGTCACGAGTTCGTCGATCAGCACAGGTCGCTCTGGTGATTCAAAGCCCGGAATTTTAACTTTTCTCAATTATTGTGCCATTAACTTTGATCATTTAGTTGACTTTTGCTTCATTCAAAAGCGCATGACAAAGAGATTGTGGTAGGTAGATCGTATTAGAAGAACATAGCAGATTCCTCATTTCTAAGATGAGAAGTTATGCACGTTAATACGTCGATAGTTAAACTTCCCTCGCTTTGTCACTTCTACAAACTGATGAATACGAAATTAATTTTAAGCAGTAGAGAAGAAGTTTCCTGACCGGCTGATTCAGACATATAATAATGAAAAACCCATCCAATGAATTATCAGAAGCATTAATCCACCAATGGTTACCCTTTCATAAAACGACTCACGAAACTTGTTCTGGTAAAGGAAGACAAATATATGAAATGTGAGGATACTGGTGAAGGTGAGCATAAGCAAGCGCAATGAGCCAAATTTCATCAGACTAACTGTGACTCTTGCAGCATCCCCCGCTAGATAGAACACAATTGACACTTCTTGCATAACTCCGATTTGTATTACGAAAATACCACCACCTCGAGGATGGTGGTATCCGGCAAGACTTCTTTTGTTATGCCTCAGATAAATGCATGTAAAACGGGCCATCGCTGTTAGAATGGACGAAAGTGGAAAACTAATCTATATTCAAGAGACTCGAAATGCGAGCGAATAAAACTGGCTATGCAGCCGAAAAGCTGCCACTAGGCCCGCCTTTGTCTTCCTGTCCATTTGATTCATCATAAGATCGCCTGTTTGGGTAACTGTTGAAAAGTTGGCCATTATTTCATTTGTTTAACAGGGACATTTAGAGAATTCGGTATTATCTTGCCAAAGCATTCATTTAATCAATTATATATATATATATGAGATTTAATCATCCTATTTCGTTTCGGTTGATACGAGGAGCGGTAGTTGAATTTTCCCAAAATTATATGAGTAGGGCTAACGTTTCCATTAAATTTCACATATTTTTGCTCTCCCAAAAGCTGTTCTTATCCAGGATGGACTGAAGCTTTGACCTCGCCTTGGTCTCGTCAACACCCCCAACGGAACTCGACTCATGACATTGCAGTGTATAATCTCGACACGTTAACCACTACGCTACATTGCCACGAGTGCCAGTTGGTCACAAGGTAGATGTGACCTTTAAGGAAGGCCGTGCATTTTCGTGGATAAAGAAAAGTTTTATTCGGTCTAGCAATCGACTACATTACTTATTTTTAATTTAAAAGTAGGCTTCCAGGCTATTATTAGATCATATATAAGAGATGTATCTATCCTATTTCGTTTAGATCATATGCTTTAGGTGCATGATTCGAGTCCCGCTGGGGGTGCTGATAAGATTCGGGCGAAGTTGTAACTGCAGCCCAGCCTGAATGAGAATAATTTGGATGAAAGCAAGACTATATGTCATGTGTAATCATATCATTGTGGGAAATTCAACTACCAGCCCCATATCACCCTAAAAGAAATAGGATGAATACATATCATATATATGATCTACTGGTTCTCTCGAATGCCTACTTATAAACGAAGCATGAATAATAGCCTATCCTTATAATTCTTTAAATTCTTTTAATCCTGAATATTCTGAACATAAAACATTTTTAAAATTTACTCCGGAAAATGTGCTATTAAGGCTTCCAATTAAAAGGCGTCAGGAGACAGTATAAGGTGCTGAGCGCTAAACCCAGCCATAAGAGCAGATTTGGTGTTCCTTACTTGACCATCATTTGATAATTAATGCTAGAGTTGTCAAGATAGAAATGGCCCCTAGAGGTGAAGCAAAGGTGTAGCACTGGGCTATAAGGATCTTCATCATCAGCGTCAGGCAAGTAATGGGGTAATAACTATGCCTTGGGTCTGGTGGACTTAAAAGCTGGTTTATTAGAAAGTATCATTCCGTCACATCATCATCATCTTCATCATCATCAATGCAGAAATGTATTTGAGTCTAAAAGTGAAGCGAGGCAAAATTCTATCTCATGGGATTGAGTTGAGTTTGAGGGAAGAAACTGTATCTAACTCCGACAACTACACCATCAGGTACGTACAGTGTGCACCCCATCAGTCACCATCTAGATGGATCTCCTGGAGGTTGGTATCAAGCCTCCCCAGTACTTTCTCATTCTAGAACTCCAATCTTGACCTAAAGCAAAGCCTAGAGAAAACACGACCACAAAAACCTTGGATCTGCTCTTTAGCTGACTAAAGTATACTGAAACAGCAAATAATTATTTGCTTATGAAAGGTTTTATACTGAGCCAAGGAAATAGAAGCACAAATGCGAAATGCTCAATCAAATAGTGGAATGTACCCTTGCGCATAGACTGGATGACTCCCGAAAATGTGGTATCGTCAAACGATCATACTCTCCTGAATATAAGCTTTCCTCAAAAATAAAAAAAGGGGGCTAATTGGTGCACAATTATATAAATTAAGAGTTTGTATAATCATAATATGACATGTATTCACCCAATTTTGTTTAAAATGATGAAGTACTGGTAGAAGAATTTTCCTACAATGATATGAGTAGAGCTGACGGTTCATTGAATTACACATAGCCTTACTTTTCCCCAAAGTTGTTCTCATCCAGGGTGGACTGCAATTTCGATCTCGCATCGGTCTTATCAACATCCCCAGCAGGCACTCGTGGCAATGTGGCCGAATGTTTAACGTGTCGAGCTCACATTCTGCACTGTCACGGTTCGACTCCCGTTGCGGGTGTTATTAAGACCGATGCGGGGTCGAAACTGCAGTCCACCCTGGATGAGAACAACTTTTGGGAAAATCAATGCTATGTGAAATTTAATAGAAACGTCAGCTCTAGTCATATCATTGTGGGAAAATTCTTTTACCAGTTCTTCATCATCTTAAACGAAATTGGGTGAATACATGTCATATTACTGATTTACTGGTAGTCTCGAAACTCTACTTAAATGCGAAAAAATGTATAATCATAATCACAAGTGATGTGTCAGTCGAAGACAAGAGTATAAAAGATAAATCCTGCTATCATATAAAGTTTCGTTAAGTTCGGCTGTCAGAAAATAAGGGTTAATGCATCCGATGCCCTCAACCAAGTTAAATTAGTCTTTGTATTTCCCACTACTAATGTAAAGACCAGATGAGTGAATGTCTCTATTTGTGGACTATAAATGCAAACTTTGACTTTGAGTTAAAGTCTTCTTCCTTCTCATATATCTGTAGTT